CAAACACGTTGTTTGTACAGGAACCTGCCCGTCGTAGACATCATCACCGTCAACTTGTACAGAGAGGCAGACAAGAAGAAGAAAAAGGACAAAAACACACTGATAGGTGAGTCCCTGAGTCTGTGTGGTGAATACAGACGCAACCTGTCTAAGATGGTCTCCCATTTTGTCGAGGAGAAAAGTGTCCGTCTTATTCAATGTCATTATAATGTGATTTTTTTAAAATACGCAGTGGAGAAAATGGAACGTGGTCGTTTGTACAGGCGATTGCTCCACTTCAGTTTTTTAAATTGTTTAAACATTTTTGAAGAACAATTAATGTGAGGCAGACTCTTCTTGATGCTGTAAATGGTCGGAAAGTATAAGATTTATGTCCTTCTCTCCTCTGAGTCTTGACAGACGATCTTAGAGCAGCGTGCATGATACTGCTTTGCATGGGCGGCATGCCACAGAGGAAGAAGATTTCCCAAGTACATGTCCTACTTCCCACCCTTCTGGTCTGTTTTACTTCTTTGGTATGCTACAAAGAGACGTCCTGTTTGTCCTGTTTGTTCTTTTTACTTTAGTTCAATATTGATCATGTAGAGAATGTGAGTGGGTGGTTGGCGGGTGCTCTTGTGTAGTTTGCTCCTTCTTTCCTATCAAACATCTTCCTTCCTCATCCCTCTCTTTTTGAGTTTGTTACTCTCTTGGTACACCTCTAGTCTTCGGCATTTAATATGACCTTATTGTGTCGCAAGTGCCGTAAAACACTTACTAAAACCGAAAAAGAGAATATGATGTAAAATGTCAATACTTTTGTTTCTGATAATCAAAAGCTGAATTTAAATGTTCTTGCAGAGTAGAATTTTTCTGTTGTAATTGAGTGGGTTCCTATCCAACATCTATCTAATATTGTCTCTCTCAGTCTATTTCTCTTCCTTTTCTACTTGTGTCTTTGTTTAGTAACACCTCTAATCTTTTGCTCTTATATGGCCTATTTGTTTTTGGGGTGCTGTCAAATTCTTTCTAAAACTTAAGTAAACTGTTATGATTGATGTTTTGTAGTTGTGTAGAAATATCTGTTATGATTCCGAGTGACGGAGCTGTGTTGTTTAGCGGCTGGTTAGGGAGTGCTCTGGTATGGTTTGCTCCTTCTTTCCTCTATCAAACATCTGTCGTCTTTATCTCTCCTCCTTTTTGTGTTTGTTACGCTCCTGTAACACCTCTAATCTTTGGCACTTATATGACCTTATTTTGTTGCAAGTGCCGTAAAACTGTTACTAAAAACTAAAGAGTTGTGTGTTTATGCTTTCAGGCTACATCAATTTGTCCATATCAGAGATCGAGAACAGACAGATGATCGAGAAATGGTGAGTTGTTGTCCAAGTCGTCGTTGTTGATGGTGGTGGTGTTGTTGTTATTGTTGTTGTTGGTGATGGTGGAGGTGTTGCTGTTGTTGTTGGTGGTGGTGAGGTGGTTACTGATGTTAGAATGGATACCTGATATCATATACTAATGGAGCTAACTCCGCATCTGGAAGTACTCCTATTTTTCTACACCTTGTCCCTCTCTGTCGTGTTACTCCCATGCACTACATGTATATGACCGAAAATGTGTCGATGTGTTTCTCTTTACTCAAACTCAAAACCCCATCCTAGTTAGAACCTGCTGCAGGGTCAGGTGGCTTTTCTATAAATAACCATCTAGATCTGTTGCTTGGTGTCAAGGGCTTTTTTTGTGTGTGTCTCATGTCCTGATTTTGGTGCCGACAATTCTAGGTTACGTAAAGATGTGTCAACACGGTGCTGATTGTCAGGCTTCAAGAAACACAAAGCAAGATAAAGGGGAATTGTTTGGTCTGTGATGGTGATGAGGATGATGATGCTGTAATTTTGGAAATGATGTGCAGGTTAATCTTGGTGTGTGTTATTTTTTTGCTTGGCGTTTACTCTAGATCCCTCAAGCTTTCCTTTGGAT